AATTCACGAGAAAGAAGCAAAACTCAGGGCTTTAAATTATTTTAAAATAAACTATGAACTGTGAGTGCTGTGTTCTTTAGAAACAACAGGTATTATTTATTTGTATAAAAAAGGAAAAGTCTTACACTTGTTTATTTTTCAAGAGTGCAATTAATAGGTTTGCAGCTGACAAGCTGTACAAGGGGGAAAACAACACATTGCTAAATGTACAAGACAATAAGGACAGATAAATGTATTTACATAAAAACTATTCGCACACTTGGAAGAGGCGAGGGGATAAATATGTACAAGTCTTTTTTAAAAGGGGGGGTATAAGAAGCGAGTTGTTGCTTTTTTTCTTCTCCGCCAGGTTCAGCTTCTACCTCTGCTGTGAGTCAACCTGACCGTCGTCTGCTTTCAGCTGCCAGCTGATGTTACTCTGAACAAAATGTTTAAGGCCGTCATAGCCCTGAGTGAACAAATACTCCAGGTACCAACTCCATGGCTTGGAGTGCTGAAACACACACACAGAAACATGTCAGCTCAGATTGCAGACATCTGAAGATTTGTGTGATCAAAGATGTCTCTATTAATCTATGAAACATGACCGATGCACATCAAACTACACCTGAACTTTATTATAAATGCAGGGGAATGAAAAGGAACCTCTCATACCTTAATGGAATTGAGGTCCATGTCCTTTTTCCCCGGCCAACACTGATAAAAAGAGAACATTAATATTTATCGACAGCCAGCCTTCGTGAATCTCACAGGATCGCTGCTTGATGATGCAGTTGGACCCAACCGAAAAATAAAAAAGGTGCGGATATTATTAAACTTGATGAAAAACCCCATCTCGCGCTGCACTCATTAATAATAAAATCTCCTTCTGTATTAATGCATCATCTGTGAAAGATACATTAACAGCACATTTAGCTGGTCTGTAAGATGATTAACCGCGCTGCCTGCTGATTCAAATCCCCTGTGCGCTATGAAAATAAGCACGTAGCATGTAGGATTCAATCCAAATCAAGACACAAATGACGCGCGCTCACCTTCTGGTGAAAGTTGACCGCGTAGTTCATGAAAGCGGGATGGTGGACGAGGTCGAAACTCGACCCGTACTGTGGCACGTTACTCTTGAGAAGCAGCTCCTCTCCCAGCTGGACGCCCATCCCTGGATGAAACATTCTGGAGTTCCACAGGCAGTTGACCATGACGACGACGTAGTGGTTGAACTCGCGGAAAGTCTGGCGGCTGATGTGAAAGGCCTGCTGAGAA